CCATTTAAAAGTCAGAGCCTATGAACATATGGGAATTTCCATCAAAACGCAAAAAAAATTAAACTAACCCCTGTGTTTCCTCTATACGCCAACATAATGAAGAAACAGGACATCAACCTATACTATCAAATTTCTCTGTCCTCTGCAAGTCTAATACTGACCTGGAATTATTGATCAAAGAAACCCTCCACATCAAACAGCACTCCCCAACACTGAACAATATGCTGTCTTCACTTAAATTACACATATTTTAATATGTTCGTATTACTGATTTTACTTTTTTTTCGTCGTGTTTTCTTGTTGTAGTTTCTCCCCATGATTACTGTTTAGTGTTTTATTTGTTTAATTATCGTTATATTTAGCAACTGTACTTTGTTCAAGATAGTTTTCAAATCTAGGAGAAGTCCTTTCCTGAATGTTTCGTTTGCTAGTATCGTGAAGGTCTCTGACTTCTTTCTCATAGCAACCAATGACTCATGAAGGAGAAATACTGACAGTCGAGTTCTTCCCCAGAAGATCAACCTCAGTGCAAGGAAATTATGAAAGACTGTGGGTTGTCAGAGCTGTAGCATGCCTGGCACATCTTCTGGTCAATGCCACTTGAGAATAGTCAAGAAAAACTGGAGGTGCTATTGGTAGATAAAGTCTGCCACAGGAGCTGTTTCACTGGTAGTTGAGATGACAAGTACCAAATGGTGAAGATAATGAACCATGTGACAGATGTTGAGCCTCTCTGAGCTGGGAAGAATATCCTGCTACAGCAACCATGGATCACAGGGAAGCCTGAGGTTAAGTATAGCCAATGGATAAGCTACTTAATGCACCTTGGCATTCTGCCAGTTGTTCTAGGCCAAGAGTCTTATAGTATTTTGATCACCCTGTAACTGCAACATCTAGGACATCTATGACAGGTCTTTGCTGAGTCTTTAGGGGAGGCTTTGGCCACACCCTTGGGACCCCATGAATGAGGTAAAGCATATTATGACTCCAGTATTCAAGGGTGCAGCAAAAGATCTGGACTGCTTCCTAAAATGCTTCAGGCAAGTAATTGCCTGGAATAACTGGTCACCAGAACAAGCTGACAAATGCCTGATCTTAAGTCTAGACAGTTCAATCTTAAACTATATTGAGCACTTGAGTTGGGTGCAACTGTGAGGCTGTATAACAGTCATTGCTGAGTTATGCCAAAAGTACAACCCAGTGGGAAATCGAGCCCTCCATCAGGCTGAGTTCGAGGCTCAGAGAAGTAGTGACCCCAAGAACTTCGCCACTTATGTGGATGATCTGTGTTATTTGCACAGTAAAACGTATCCTACATTGGCCTCCACATATCATGAGAATATCCTTGGCAAATTTCTGAAGGGGCTACCTTGTGCAATGATGAGAGATCAATTAGGTTTAGGAGATATTTTCCCATTATAGAGGCAATCTCTGTCATAACAAGCTATGAGGAGAGAAAGAAGCCTGCAGCATGACTGTATTATGTTAATATGGTATTAATCTTCTTATTTTCATTCACATTGTTTTAGATTTTTAAAGTAATTTTCAAATTACCTTTGGATCTATATCAGACATAAATTAAAGGACAAAATGAAAGATGAGAAATGTGTGGACTAAATTTTCAAACATGCTTGCAGACTTCACATATGCACCCCTAACAAATAAAATATTAGAAAGAGAATGGTATTTCTATAATATTATTATATTTAACATTGTTAAAATCATTATTTATTAAATAAACCAATCCTTTAAAGGAACTTTGGTATTTAAGTAAATATTTATAAAAGCGAAACAGTTGAAAGAAAAAACTTATTTTCATGTAAAGATTTTAAAATATGAAATGTACATAATTCCAAAATGAAAGCAATTTTACTGGAATGTCCTCACACAAAAAAATGACCTTTTGTACTTATTAAATTTTTCTCCAGTGATGTCTCTCAAAGAAAAGTTAAATAATGGATAGATATTAGACAGCAGAAGCAAAAGCAGTGTTTCTGGGTATTCTTAAACAGAAAAGGTGTAGGGGAAGATAAAGTGCTAAACTATCAGAACCATCAGCAGACAAATGTGAGTCACATGATCCAACTAATAATTTTATCATCTTTTGCTGGACGTTTGCCTAAAAATTCATAGCAACAAGAAACTATTAATTTTTCTTTAAAAATTTCCTTTAAAAAAATGATGGATAAAAATTTTGCTGACAGAATTCACAGAAAATTGTATTTGTGCTGACAAATGGATTATTGAGGTGTGGATGGGTGTGGCACCCCTCTCCCACTGCAT